AGGTTCTCGAGACGGTTTCTCCGACGCGCGGTTGAGCGAGATGGGTCCTCAAGGTTGAGTTCTTGGAGAGCTCTCTGGCTTGGGGGGTCATCGTGTCCTGGTGGGATGGGACCTCCTGGTGGGATGACACCTCCTGGTGGGGCAGCAACCCCTGGGGAGGCATCATCATCTCCTGGGGGGGCATCATCATCATCATCATCATCTCTTGGTGGGACGACGTTCTCGAGATGGTTTCTCCGACGCGCGGTTGAGCGTGATGGGTTGTCAAGGTTGAGTTATTGGAGAAGACCTCCCCAGCTTTGGGGGTCATCATCTCCTGGTGGGATGGGACCCCCTGATGGGGCAGCATCTCCTGGGGGGGCGGGACCTCCTGGGGGGGCGGGACCCCCTGATGGGGCATCAGCATCTCTTGGGGGGACGAGGTTCTTGAGATGGTTTCTCCGACGTGCGGTTGAGTGAGATGGGTCCTCAAGGTTGAGTTCTTGGAGAGCTCCCCAACTTTGGGGGTCATCATCTCCTGGTGGGATGGGACCCCTTGATGGGGCATCATCATCTCCTGGTGGGGCATCACCCCTTGATGGGGCATCATCTCTTGGTGGGACGAGGTTCTCAAGATGGTTTCTCCGACGCGCGGTTGAGCCAGTTGAGTTGTCAAGGTTGAGTTCTTTAAGACCTCCCCAGCTTTGGGGGTCGTCATTTCCTGGTGGGATGGGACCTCCTGGTGGGATGACACCTCCTGGTGGGGCAGCAACCCCTGGGGAGGCATCATCATCTCCTGGGGGGGCATCATCATCATCATCATCTCTTGGTGGGACGAGGTTCTCGCGACGGTTTCTCCGACGCGCGGTTGAGCGAGATGGGTCCTCAAGGTTGAGTTCTTGGAGAGCTCTCTGGCTTGGGGGGTCATCGTGTCCTGGTGGGATGGGACCTCCTGGTGGGATGACACCTCCTGGTGGGGCAGCAACCCCTGGGGAGGCATCATCATCTCCTGGGGGGGCATCATCATCATCATCATCTCTTGGAGGGACGAGGTTCTTGAGATGGTTTCTCCGACGCACGGTTGAGTGAGATGGATCCTCAAGGTTGAGTTCTTGGAGAGCTCCCCAACTTTGGGGGTCATCATCTCCTGGTGGGATGGGACCTCCTGGTGGGATGGGACCCCCTGATAGGAGAGCACCTCCTGGGGGGGCACCATCATCATCATCATCATCTCCTGAGGGGACAAGGTTCTCGAGATGGTTTCTCCGACGCGCGGTTGAGCCGGTTGAGCCCTCAAGGTTGAGTTACTGGAGAAGACCTCCCCAGCTTTGGGGGTCAAAATCTCCTGGTGGGATTGGACCTTCTGGTGGGATGGGACCCCCCAATGGGGCATCATGTCCTGGTAGGGCATCATCTCCTGGTGGGACAAGGTTCTCGAGACGGTTTCTCCGACGCGCGGTTGAGCCGGTTGAGCCCTCAAGGTGGAGTCCTTGGAGAAGACCTCCCCACCTTGGGATGTCCTCTCCTCCCGGTGGCTCTTCCTGTGTTTGCTGAGGGACTTGGTGGCCATGAAGCTCTTGCCACACTCGGGGCAGGGATAAGGTCTCTCCCCCGTGTGGATGCGCCGATGGACGACCAGGTTGGCCTTGGAGGTCAAACTCTTCCCGCAGTCGGGGCAGGTGAAGCTGGAATGGTCCCCGTGGCTCTTCCGGTGTTTGTTGAGGCCTTTGGTGGCCGTGAAGGTCTTGCCACACTCGGGACAACCATAAGGTCTCTCCCCAGTGTGGAGCCTCTGGTGGACCAGGAGGGCTGACTTGGTGGCCAAGTTCTTCCCGCAGTTGGGACAAACCCAGGTGGTGTTTCCATTGTGGCCCGACTGGTGGGTCTGGAGGGACCTGGTGGAGGCGAAACGTTTGGGGCAGGTGGGACACTGGAATGGTTTGGGTGGGCAAAGGGTCTTCTGGTGGTCCCGGAGGCTGGAGCTGCTGGGGAAGGTCCTGCCACAGGTGGGGCAGGGGACGGGTCGGTCCTCGCGGTGGAGACGTTGGTGGCGGTTGAGGGAGGAGCCACAGCTGAAGGTTTTGCCACATTTGCCACACCTGGGGGTGGGGGTGGGTTTGGGTCTTCTCCTCCTGGAGGGGTGGGGAGGGCTGGGTCTCCTGCCCCGTTGGGCTCTGGAAGCCCAGGAGGTGCCACCAACCCCGGGGGTGGATTCCGGGGACGTCGGGGCTTCGTCGGGGCCGCTCGTGCCTGGGGGGAGAGGCCAAGGGGGGGTCAAGGGGCCCAGAAGCTGCTCCAGCACCTTCTCCTCCACCTTCTTCTCCTCCACCTTCTCCTCCACCTTCTCCTCCACCTCCTCCTCCACTTTCTCCTTCACCTTCTCCTCCATCCTCCTCTTCCATCTCCTCCACCACCTCCTGCTCCACCCTCTCCCCTCTCACCACCCCCTTCACCTTCTCCTCCACCTTCTCCACCATCTCCTCCTCCACCACCTCCTCCATCCTTCTCCTCCATCTCCTTCCATCCTTCCCCACCATCTTCTCCTCCACCTTCACCTTCCCCTCCTTCACCTTCTCCATCTCCTCCTCCATCCTTCTCCACCACCACCTCCTTCACCTTCTCTGTCCTTCTCCACCACCTTCTCCTCCACCTTCTCCACCATCTCCTCCTTCACCTTCTCCTCCTTCTCCACCACCATCTTCTCCTCCACCATCTCTTCCATCTTTCTCCTCCATCTCCTCCTACCCTTCCCCACCATCTTCTCCTCCACCTTCACCTTCTCCTCCAGCTCCTCCATCCTTTTCCACCACCTCCTCCTTCACTTTCTCTGTCCTTCTCCACCACCTTCTCCTCCACCTTCCCCAACACCTCCTCCTTCACCTTCCCCACCACCTTCTCCTCCACCTTCTCCACCATCTCCTCCTTCATCCTTCTCCTCCATCATCTCCTCCCCCATCCTCCTCCTCTTCCATCCTTCTCCTCCATCTCCTCCTACCTTTCTCCACCACCTCCTCCTCCTTCACCTTCTCCTCCTCCTTCTCCACCATCTCCTCCTCCTTCTTCACCTTCTCCTCCTCCTTCTCCACCACCTTCTCCTCCATTCTCCTCCTTCACCTTCTCCTCCACCATCTCCTCCTTCATCCTTCTCCACCACCTCCTTCACCTTCCCTGTCCTTCTGCACCACCATCTCCTCCATCCTTCTCTTCCATCTCCTCCCATCCTTCCCCATCTTCTCCTCCATCCTCCTCCACCTTCTCCACCACCTCCTCCATCCTCCTCCTCCATCTCCTTCCATCCTTCCCCACCATCTTCTCCTCCACCTTCACCTTCCCCTCCTTCCACCTTCTCCTCCACCATCTCCTCCTTCTCCTCCATCATCTCCTCCCCCATCCTCCTCCTCCTCCTCCCCTTCTCCACCACCATCTCCTCCTCCTCCTTCACCATCTCCTCCTTCTCCTCCTCCACCACCTCCTCCTCCTTCACCTTCTCCACCACCTTCTCCTCCATCCATCTCCTCTACCATCATCTCCACCATCTTCTCCATCACCTCCTCTTCCTCCTCCACCTCCACCTCCTCTTTCACCTTCTCCTCCACCACCTTCTCCACCATCTTCACCTTCTCCTCCTTCTCCACCACCATCTTCTCCTCCATCCTCCACCTCCACCTCCTCTTTCCCCTCCTCCTCCACCCCCTCCATCCTCCAGAACCACCTCCTGCTTTCTCTGCCTCCTCCTCCCAGTCCCACCAGCCCAGACCAGTACAAACCAGCACGATCCACCCCCCAGAACCACCCTGACCCAGACGACCTCCTCCACCTGGAGACCTTTTCTTTACCTGAGCAGGAGGAGCTGGAGGAGCTCCCACCACAACTTGGGGGCCTCCACCTCTTCCTCCTGCTCCTCAACCTCAGGAGGGGCTTGGCCAGATGTTCTTCCTCCTCCTCTTCCTCCTCCGAGCTCTGGATGGTGGGAACCCAAACTTCCTCCAGACCTGGGACATTTGGGGGGCTCAAAAGACACCAAAGAAACCCCCCCAGAGATGCCTCCTGGTCACCCTCCCAACCTCATCCCACCCCCAGGGCTTCCCAAGGGGTGGAGAAGAAGGATCAGCCCCATTTGTGGTCTCCATGGATGAAAAAACTGGGTCAATCCCAGGATTTGGGGTGAAAAATGGGGGGGTTGGGGTGAAAAATGGGGGTTTTGGGGTGTCCCAAGTCAAGGAACCCCCCGGAGATGCCACCAGGAGGAGGATGAGGGACAAAACCAAGGAGATGTTGGGTTGGTTTCCCCAGTTTTGGTCTCCATGGGCAAAAAAATGGGGTCAATCCCAGGATTTGGGGTGAAAAATGGGGGTTTTGGGGTGTCCCAAGTCAAGGAACCCCCCGGAGATGCCACCAGGAGGAGGATGAGGGACAAAACCAAGGAGATGTTGGGTTGGTTTCCCCA